CTGGGTTACCTACGGCGGCCCTCCCTGGTGCATGGGTGCCCAGTCCTGGGGGCCTGGCACAGTGCCCGCTGCTGGTGCCAAGTGTGGACAGAGGAGCCTCGGTGAGTGTGGTTGGGGTGAAGGGCCTTGGGGAGGGGAGCACCTGATCAGGTTCCTCATTTGTCCTTCCTCTTCTCAGAGCACTTTGCTCCTCTCTCAGAATGAACGGAGACCAGAAATCAGATGGTTATGCTCAGGAAAAGCAGGATTTCATCCAGCACTTCTCCCAGATAGTCAAGGTGCTGACTGAAGATGAGATGGGGCACCCAGAGACAGGAGATGCTATTGCTCGACTCAAGGAGGTGAGGGATTAATGACCGGAGGAAACAAGACCATTTGTCACTGCATATGTGTGGAATTTAGCTGGGGCTTTCTGGGGCACTAGCATTCAGGTTCATTTTGACAAAATTTTATACTACAAGGAATTTGATTTCAATCCCTGTTCCCCCCTTGGGGACACTTCTGACAGATGTAGGAGGAGACTTTCACCTGGTTTGTGACTCTGGAGTGGGTGAGGAGTGGGTGAGGCCTGGGCATATATATTTACTCCACCTGATTTTTGGCTCTGTAGAAAGTGGGCCATCCAAACTGTTTCATATAGGAGTGGAGGCCTTTAACCTGGTGAAATCTTTGATTTTGTGTCCTGAAATCATAAGATGCTGTTTTGGCAGACGAATGGGAGGAGGCAGTTTGAGGTGGTCTATATTCCCAGAGCCCTGATGGAAGTTAGGGTGTCATCAGAAGCCTCTGTTCCAGCAATGAACTATTGCTGTAATACTTAAGTTGCTTTTTTCTCCCCCTTTCTTTTATTCTCTTGAAGTATCCAGTAAATTGGTTTTATAAATTGCTGTCTGTCTCATCTGTCTGAGGGGAACCAAGGGAAAGGGGAGGCTTTGTCGACGTTGGGATGGGGACTAAAAGAGAAAGCTCTCCTTTATTAACACTGGTTGAGAACCGGGCAACAGAAGGTCCTGACAGGAAGAGACACCATTGGAGGATTAGATGGATCCCACAACTTGGGTCCCGTCTGAGTTCTCGCTAACTTGGAGGGGCCTGGTCTTAAATACAGGATTTTCATTTGAAGATGCATTGAATTCTGGGCAGGAGGGGGTGGTTGGGAAAGCAACTATGGGTTGTGAAAGGGAAGTCGAGGGAGGTGGGATGCAGCGGGATCTGCGTACCATTCCCACAGTGTGCACTGTTTTCCCTGAGTCCTGGGCTTGGGGACAGACAGAACTGAGCTCGCACCATAGAGCCTTTAATCTTACTGGGGAAGACAATGCAGAGTACAAAAGAAAGAAACAAACCCACTGGGGAGTTCTTCTCACTGTGCTCTGGGACTTTGGGACAGGGGTCAAGAAGTAGGAATCCGGGACTTCCTGGAATGGGAATTGGGATTGGAGAGGGTGAAGTTCAGTAGGTGGTTAGAAATGGAAGTTGCTCTTGCGTGGACCCTGATGCCCTGTCCCTCTCCCTTGTCCCAGGTCCTGGAATATAATGCCATTGGAGGGAAGTACAACCGGGGTTTGACGGTGGTGGTAGCATTCCGGGAGCTGGCGGATCCAAGAAAACAGGATGCTGATAGTCTCCAGAGGGCCCTGACAGTGGGCTGGTGTGTGGAGCTGGTGAGAGGCGTGGGGGAAGGGCAGGAGAAGAAGAGGGTTCCTAGAGTTGGGGGTAGGGGAGGGATGAACCCAAAACTTGTTTCTGGTTTTTGTTTATATTTCCTATTCCTAGTGTGGTGTAGCCAAATTTAGGCAGAGTGAATTATTCCAAGAGTTAACTGGTTAACCAGTAAGGGCGACCTCTTGCCATTAGGTACATAGAATTTAGCAGAGAGGTGTTGGCTTTTTCCTCTGAGCAAAAAATAGCCATAAAAATGATATAGTTCTTCCAAAAGATTATTGTGAAGTATAAATTGAAAATCAGGGGCTGACTAATAGTTTTTGAAAATGTTTGCAACTTAAATCCCCTACATTTAACATAGCAGATGCTTTGCTTAAAAACCCAGATTTTGAGCCAAGGTTGTGGCTCAGTGCCAGAGCGCTTGCCTAGCGTGTGTGAGGCACTGGGTTCAATCCTCAGCACCACATATAAATAAAATAAAGGTCCATTGACAACTAAAAAAATATTTAAAAAAAAAAATCCCAGATTTCTTGCATTACTTGGAAGATCATAAGATCCAGGTCCATGTTCACGTATAGCAGCACCTGCTGAAGGCACATCATGGCTACTTCCCCAAGACATGGTACATGCTCTCATGTGTGTGGCTCTGGTCTCCTTCGTTCCCTGCCTCTCCTTGCCTTCTGTACCCAGGTATCCTGACCCTTGAAGGTGTGTGGTTGCTAGCCTGGCCTAGAGGCTTAATTGGTGGCAGGGGGACTGAATTCCAATAATACCATCCAAGATGTATTCCATATTCAGGTATTCCTGTCTCCTAGATGTCCTTTATGGCTATTAAAAAAAAATATCCAGGCCCAGTCAAAGCTAATGCATTACAAAAACCAGAAACAAAAGAAACAAAACCCAAACTAACGTATTGCATTTGGCAATTTTTTTTCTTTCAGTCTTCACTTTTTTAATATACTTTTAAAAAATATTTTTTAGTTTTAGGTGGACACAGTGTCTTTATTTTACATTTATGTGGTGCTGAGGATCGATCGAACCCAGTGCCTCATGTATGCTAGGCGAGCACGATACCACTGAGCCACAACCCCAGCCCCTTCTTTCAGTCTTTAGAGTAGAATAGTTCCTTTACCACAGTTGACTTTTCCCCTGAAGTCCAGGCTGACTGTTTGGTAGAGTGGTGCCTAATCTAATTGGTGTCTGTGTGATCCTTTCCTAATGTATGAATTCTCCCTAGGGAGCTAACCCCCAGTGCTGAGGTCCTACCCCTATAGATGCTCACTTAAGTGATCTGGATGGGATCTACCACTATGATATTTGTAAAGTTCTGCAGATGGGGTTAGAATCATTGATGGAGGAGTAGATTGAGAGGGGCCACAGAATGAATTCCCTTGGAGACATTGGTTGAATGGTGGTGGCTGAAACAAAAATTGTCCTTGGGAAGAGGCAGTGGATGCATGGCTCCAGAGAACCATGTCACTCCGAATAAATGCAGTGTAAATAAGTTTTCTGTCTCCAGTGTGTGCCTCCATTCTGCTCCCCTGGGGTAAGATCAGCATTAAAAGTTCAGATTGATGCCTCCTCCATGTGGGTCTTTCCAAGAACACCAGCAGTGACTGTAGGGGCCCACACCTGAGCTGAGGGGCATTGCTTCCTGCTTCCCCAACAGTGTGACCCATCAGAGCACATAGGATCAGGATGGGGTAGAATTTTGAAAGCCATATCTTATTATTTAATTATTTTTGCTGTACTGGGAATTGAAACCAGGGATGCTCTACTACAGAGCTACACCCTGAGCTCCTTAATTTTCATTTTGAGACAGGGTCTTGCTGAGTTGCCAAGGCTGGCCTCAAGGTTGTGATCCTCCTGCCTCAGCCTCTTGAGTTGCTGGCAGTACAGGTGCACCACTGTGTCATGGCAAGAACCATGTCTTGAAAAACTGCTTAAGAAATGAGTGGCCTGATTGCAAGAAGAATCATGGAGAGTTTCTTTCATTTGCTTAGTAGACTTGGAAGCACCCATTCTGAGGCTAGTGCTGTGCTAGGCTGTGGAAATGCCAAGAGGAAAAACATGTCCCAAGTCCAAGGAGTTTATGGTCTAGTTAGAAAACCAAGTCAGCTGGGCACATCAGTGTGTGCTTGTAACCATCGTGACTGAAGCAGGGAGATGTCAAGTTTGAGGCAAGCACAGCAACTCAGACCCTTGTCTCAAAATAAAAATAGAAAAGGCCGGGCGCTGTGGCGCACATCATCCCAGCAGCTCGGGAGGCTGAGGCAGGAGGATTGTGAGTTTCAAGCCAGCCTCAGCAATTTCGAGGTCCTAAGCAACTCAGTGAGACCCTGTCTCTAAATAGAACACAAAATAGGGCTGGAGGTGTGGCTCAGTGGTTGAGTGCCCCTGAGTTAAATCTGCTGTACCAAAAAATAAAACTAAAAAAGGACTGAAGATAGAGCTCTGTGGTAGCTCCCCTGGGTTAGATCCCTATACTAACGAGAAAGAGAGGAAGGAGAGAGAAAACCAACAAGGTACTTTCAGGGGGCTGGCACTTGAAAGGGCAAGCCTTTTGCTGGTATTTAGGAGTGTGTAAAGGTGTTTACAGTTCCATGGGTACAGATTATTAGGCAGATTTCAGTTCCATTCATTTACACCTGCTCCCCTATATAAACTACACAGTAAGGCTGTGTCCCTCATCACTAGGATGTTTGAATGGAATGTTGGCTGATGTAATAGTGTTCAGCCTTCTTTTAAGAGTCATGGAGGTAGCTGTGTGCAGTGGCAAAAATGTGTAATCCCAGTAACTTGGGAGGCTGAGGCAGGAGGATCACAAGTTCGAGGTCAGCCTTAGCAATTTAGTGAGGCCCTATGCAACTTAGAGACCCTGTCTCAAAATAAAAAATTAAATAATGGCTGGGTGTGTGGCTCAGTGGTTAAGTGCCCTTGGGTTCAGTCCCCAGTACTGAGGCAAGAGGATCAAAAATTCAAGGTGAGCTTTGGTGACTTAGTGAGACCCTGTCTCAAAATAGAAAATAACAAGGGCTGGGATGTACCTCAGTGGTAGAGCACCCTTGGGTTCAATCACCAGTAATGGGGAGGGGTAAAGTCAGGTAAAGGCAAGTTGCATGAAGAAATCTTTTTTTTTTTTTTTTACTTTTTTCTTTTAAAGTTTGTTAATGTTTTTCATTGAGGAAGAGATCTTCCTTGGGCTGGGCTGTAGCCTCGCACCTGTGATGCACTGGGTTTGATCCTCAGCATCACATAAAAATAAATAAAGATACTGTGTCCACCTACAACTAAAAATATATATATTAAAAAAAAAAGAGGGAGAGAGAAAGATCTTCCTTTAAGCATTCATTGAGATTTTTGGCACGAGGAGAAAGAGTAAACATGAAGGTGTCTCATTATCTCCAATACCAGTGACAGTCGGAAAGGCTGATTGAAGTTGTCAGAGATGTTTTCTGGACTCTTAACCCTGGAAACAGTTTTAGTTCTATGTGTTTAGGTGGGGAGTCTGAGCCAAAGAGGTCATGTAACTTCAAGGTCGTCTGTAACTGAAGTCCTCAGCGTCCTGACCTTGGTATCCCTTCCCAGCTCACGGTAACCATCAGAAGCAGGAGCTGTGTCTCTGGTAGAAGGCACGTAAAGGGGTCTTAACTCTGTCTTTCCTTCCCCTAGCTGCAAGCTTTCTTCTTGGTGTCAGATGACATCATGGATGCATCCCTTACCCGCCGGGGACAGCTCTGCTGGTATCAGAAGGTAATGTGGGGGGAAGGTGGAAGTGGGCATGGGGACAGGCCACAGGGAGGTGGTTATCCAGCCTGATTGAGGTAACCATTCTTGGTATGAATCAAGGCCAGAGATTCATTGCTCAGTTTTCCTCTTTGCTCCTCACAGCCAGGCATAGGTTTGGATGCCATCAATGACGCTCTGCTTCTGGAAGCGTGTATCTACCGCCTGCTGAAGTTCTACTGCCGGGATCAGCCCTACTATTTGAACTTGATTGAGCTATTCCTGCAGGTGTGCTGCAGCCCGGGACCCAGAGCTCAGAGGCTTCTCATAGTAGCCTTGGCCTCTGTAGGGATGTTCCCATCTGCTGGTTTCAGGCACAGGAGATGCTAGGGTTGCCTGGAAGGGGACAGGAAGGAAGAGGATTAGGGAGGAAGGAAAGGACTGTGTGCACGAGTGGGGGCCTGGAGTTTCTCTCTTTACTGCTGCCCTTGGGACTCTGCCAGAATGCGGGTTCTGGGCATGGGGTATAGGGTTCAGCACATCAGGGTCCCCATATGTGGAGAAAACCTGGCTCACGGGCCATCTTCCTCTTAGAGTTCCTATCAGACGGAGATTGGGCAGACCCTGGACCTCATCACAGCCCCCCAGGGCAATGTGGATCTTGGCAGATACACTGAAAAGAGGTGAGGGCCAGAGGGGACCATATCTGGAGAATGAGGGAGGGCTTGGGTGGGGTTGTCCTGAGGCCTCTATCTTCTCCTTTAGGTACAAATCCATTGTCAAATACAAGACAGCTTTCTACTCCTTCTACCTGCCTATCGCTGCTGCCATGTACATGGTGAGTCAGCCTCACCCGCTCTTCCCCGCACTTGTGGGTATTGAGGCAGCAAGTCATAGACAAGGCACTTGGACAGTTGGTAGCCCCGCTGAATGACTGCGAGGCCTTGAGCAATCCAGTTACTCTCCGCTGCAAGATGGGGATAAGTTCCTGCCTCACAGGACTGTAAAGGTGAACTGAGGCATTTGAAAGTGCTTGGCTCCTAATCGGGGAACTGTGAATCCCAAATAGGAGTTTGGACAGGACTGGGGAGGACATAATTCAGGTAGGGAGGGAGAAGGCTGGATTCAAAGGCAGGCAGGATTAATAGTCTACCCTGAACTTGGTTCTCCAAGTTTTCTTTTCATCCTGAAAGAAGCTGGAGGTGGCAGAAAGGTTAGGAAGAGGAATCAGATGACTGAGACCGTGAAAGAGAATTTGTGGGCCTCCAAATTCTTCCCTTTTGTGACTCCCAGGAAGGCCTAGTCAAAAATTAGTGGGACGGAGGTTGGTTCATCCGTCAGGACTTCCTAGATCGGGGAGGCCAAGAATGTCTGAAAGGAGAGACAACTTGGGGACCCCAGTAGCAGGACCCCACTGGAGGAAGTATCCCAGGAGGTGAAGGCAGTGAGGGCTTCAGCTCATTGGTCCTCTTCCCTTGTAGGCAGGCATTGATGGGGAGAAGGAACATGCTAATGCCAAGAAGATCCTGATGCAGATGGGAGAGTTCTTCCAGATTCAGGTGGGCCTGAGGCAAGGGCAGAGCGGGGACCAGGCAGGTGTCCCACTGCCACACCAGCCTCTTCATTCCTCCTCTTCTGCCTCCTGCCCAGGATGATTACCTTGACCTCTTTGGCGACCCCAGTGTAACGGGAAAAATTGGCACTGACATCCAGGACAACAAGTGCAGCTGGCTGGTGGTTCAGTGTCTGCAACGGGCCACTCCAGAACAGCGCCAGATCTTGCAGGTGCCAGAGAGGACCAGGGGTTCCCTGAACTGATAAGAAAGGGGATAGGACAGTGGTTCTTGAGGCAGTTGTGCGTGTGTGTGTGCGCGTGTGCGTGCCTCCCGCCATTTGACAGCGCTAGCAGATTCTCTTACTATTTTAACTTGGTGAGTATGCATGTGCTCTAGGTGTCTGCAGGGTGGAGGCCAGTGATGCTGCTAACCCTCATCAGACACTGCACAGAACAACTCCCCAAATGAAATCATCTGGCTGCAGATTTCAGTTGTACCAACATCAAATCCCCAGAACAGAGGAAACTGAGGCCTGAGACCAAACCCCAACATTTGGGATGGGGACAAGAAGCTTGGGAGCCGAAGTACCCAGACACTTGAAAATGGGAGGCAGGGGTAGAATGTGAATGAGTGAGTGGAGAGGCCTTGAGGTTCTGGGGAAGACAAAGCCCATTTTCCTGCTTCCAACCCCTTCCAGGACAATTATGGGCAGAAGGACACCAAGAAGGTGGCCCAGGTGAGGGCACTGTACGAGGAGATGAATCTACCAGCTGTGTTCTCCAAGTATGAAGAAGACAGTTACAGCCATCTTATGAGTCTCATCGAGCAGTATGCTACGCCCCTGCCCTCCACCATCTTCCTGGGGCTGGCCAACAAGATCTACAAGCGGAAAAAGTGACCTAGAGACTGCCAGGGCAGGGAGGGAGGGCAGGCTCAATAAATTATTGTGTAGTCTTCTGGTGGTTTTCTTCTTGCTCTAGCTGAGAGTCCTGTGTGTCCGGAATGGGTTTGGGCTGCTGGGGATGGGGGCGGCAAGGTAGCTCAACTGGTGCCAGATATTGTGGGTCATGGCTCAAGAAACCTTTGGGATTGAAAACTGTGAGCAAGGTCTAAGTGGATGACACAGGCATGACGTCAAGGACTGAAGGGTGGGTCTAAGCTACGCCACGCCCATGCGTGTATGGGTGCGGCTGCGCAGCGGAGTGGGTTGTCCTAGTGCCCCTCCCCTCTGCTCTATACCCCGCCGGGCGGGGATCGCGGAACGGCTGACCAGCCCAGGGCCGGAGCAGTTCCAAGAGGACCCTGGTGAGGAGGGCTTGGCCGCTGGGTGTGGATGGATCAACCGGGACACTGTGGGGTGGGGCAGGAGAGGGAAGCAGGAAAAACGAATAGAGAAGGGGTGGGGTTCGGTGGGTGGTGGCTGGATGATGGAGAAGACTGCGAAGAGAATTGTGTGACACTGTTGTGAGCGGATAAGGGCGCACCAAAGCTGCAGGCTGCATTACCTTGAGGGGCGGCCTGCAGATTCAGAGTTGACAGCTGACGGCGGCTCCCTCCTCCCGCTCCAACCTCTTCGCTTTACTGTATTAAGAAGCCAAACCCCGCGCCTGCTTCTCTCCATCCACCTCATTTCCGAATACCTGGGCGGGGTCCCCTTGGGCTCTTTCCTCTGGGAGTGAAGGGTAGGCTGGAGGGCAGGGCCAAATTGCTGCAGAAAGGATCCCGGGTCCGTCCTGGGCCCCATCCTCTTCCAAGCTCCCCTACGGAGATGCAGAGCGCAGCCGCATTATCTGACCCTCCCTCTTCTATTCCCGGGGGGGGGGGGGGGGGGAGGGTACATTCGACTCCACCTGCAAACACTGCAGTGGAAACTAATGGCCAGTCGATGCCGATTTGCATCTCATTTAAATATTTTCCAAAGCAGCCAGAGCCTCCCCAGGCCTGCTCCCGCCGTCAGTCACCTCCGTGTCCTTCTCATCGCCCTCACTGGCTGTCTTTCACCATCCACATCTTCTAGGTCTGCATTTGCGTTGCCAGGTAGGTGGATGTGAGAGGCCCTATTCTGGTTTTCTGGAGGCCATCTCATCGCCGCTGGCATCATGCTGTCCCCTCAGAGGGCTTTACTCTGCAATCTCAACCACATCCACCTCCAGCACGTCTCCCTGGGCCTGCACTTGTCTCGCCGTCCGGAGCTACGGGAGGGGCCTTTAAGCACGCCCCCTCCCCCAGGAGACACCGGGGGCAAGGAGAGCAGGGGCCCCTGCGGAGGGACCCTCGTGGATGCCAACTCCAACAGCCCAGCGGTGCCCTGCCGATGCTGCCAGGAGCATGGACCAAACCTAGAAAACCGACTGGACCCCTCTCAGGAGGAGGAAGGGGCTGCCTCTCCCTCAGACCCGGGCTGCTCCTCCTCTCTCAGCTCCTGCTCAGATCTTAGCCCCGATGAGTCCCCCATTTCCGTCTACTCGCGGGACCTGCCTGGTGATGAGGATGCCCACCCTCAGCCCAGTATCGTCCCCTTGGAGCAGGGGTCCCCACTGGCTTCAGCAGGCCCTGGAACCTGCTCCCCGGACAGCTTCTGCTGCTCTCCTGATTCCTGTTCTGGAGCCTCCTCCCCGCCGGGCCCTGGCCTGGACTCGAACTGCAATGCCCTGACCACCTGCCAGGACCTCCCTTCCTCCAGCCTGGAGGAGGAGGAAGAGAGTGGGGAGCAGGACCTCCCCACCTCTGAGCTCTCGGAGGCGGAGGATGGGAAAATCGACGCTGGGAAAACGGAGCCCAGTTGGAAAATTAACCCCATTTGGAAAATCGACACAGAGAAAACGGAAGTTGGATGGAAAATCACTGATAACAATAACTCCGACTGGAAAACCAGAGGAAGTACTAACTCTAACTGGAGAGCTGAACCCGGAAAATTCGACCCCTGTTGGAACACCAGCTTAGGAATAACTGATTCTGGCTCGAAAGCAGATGCAGGGAAAACTGATGGGGGATGGAAAAGTGACGTCAGCGAGGAGCCAGTGCCCCACCGGACAATCACGTCCTTCCACGAGCTAGCCCAGAAGCGCAAGCGGGGCCCAGGGCTGCCCCTCACACCGCAGGCTAAGAAAGATCGCAGCGACTGGCTCATAGTCTTCTCGCCGGACACCGAACTCCCACCGACCGGGTCGCTGGGTGGCTCCTCGGCACCTCCCCGAGAAGTCACCACCTTCAAGGAACTCCGCTCCAGAAGCCGCGCCCCGCCCCCGCCGGTCCCGCCTCGAGACCCCCCTGCTGGCTGGGCCTTGGTCCCGCCCCGCCCGCCACCCCCACCCGTGCCTCCCCGGCGGAAGAAGAATCGACCTGGGCTGCAGCCCATAGCGGAGGGGCAGCTCGAGGAAGGCAGGGCGGTCAGCCCGGCGGCTGGTGAGGAGGCCCCAACCCCGAAGGAGCGGGAGCAGCCCGGAGCACCAGCGGGCCTCGAGGGTAAGAGGCCGCCGAGGAAGCGGGAAGAGGGCTGGGCTTTAGCTTCGCCCACGCCTCCGAAGCTTCCAACCCCGCCCCCGTCTTCCCTCCATTCTGTGTCACCCACCCTCCCTGCCCCTTTATCAGCGAGCGCTCCGGGAAAGGGAAACTGGGTCACTGGGTTACGGGACTAACTCTTTGCTCCCTCTTTCTCCCGCTCCTTCTTGCCTGGCTGTCCATCCCGCTCCCCTTCTTCCCCTCTGCGCCTGCCCCGCCAATCCCGCCTGCAGCCGGTCCCCTTGTGCTCCCTCGGCCCCTGGTTTTTCGGTTCTCGGCCGACGGGCGCCCCCTGTTGGAGGGTGGGGGTGCCGGCGCAGCTGGGTCCCTGCTCCTGGCGCCCCTGGCCGAGTGGCCCGGCACCGGGCTGCGGCTGCTGGGGGCGCCAAGTCCCCCAGCGGAGCAGCTGCTGCCTGTCCGCCTGTCCCCAGTGGGAGCCTATTCGCCTCCGACTCGGGGGACCCTGCCCTGCCTGGCCAGCCCCGAGCTGGCACTGCTGCTGTCCCCGCTCTTTCCCAGAAGTAGCACCTTTCCCGCCGCGGCTACCCCGCCCCGCCAGGTACCCGCCCCTTCGCTGCCACCACCACCTCGTCCGCCGAAGGCCTCTCGCTGGACCAGAAGCCCACCGCCTCCGCCCAGGCTACGTAAGACGGACCCGGGCGAGCCCCGCGGGCCACGCCTCGGCGGGCTGCCTGCCCACTCCAGCCCTCCCACCCGCCCAGCCCGTAGTGTGGCTTTCCCCGGGGATTCAGCGGTGCCATCCTTCAACTGGGGCCGGTTCCGAGCGAGTCCGCCAGTGCTGGTCTCGCTGCTCGCGCTGTGGGGTGGCGAGGCGGGTTGCTGCTGCCCCGGCTTCACAGGACCCTGCGCGGGAGGGCTTCCCCGGCCTGTCTGCTCGGTCGGGGTCCCAGCAAGTCCGTGTCAGGGATCTCGGGTCACAGCTGTGTGGAATTCTGCGGCCCACGTAGTCTGACACCTCCCTGCCTAGATCCGGGAGGGTGGAGGGCGAAACTCCCTGGAGCCCACTGGCCCCGGAGGTTCTGGTCACTCCTTTCCCAGTCCCGTTCCACGTGGGATGAGGGGAGCGCTGTCCGCCAAGCTGGCTTGGGACCCGGGTTTCCCTTTCCCGGCGCCTTCGCCCTCCAGCATCCCGGTCTCAGGGTCTCACCTCCCGGTTTCTCCTCCCTTTCCCGTCTGTCTTTTCATTGGCTCAGGCTCCCCACGTGCTCCCCGGGCCGGCCGGCCTGAGGCGGGACGCAGGGCAGCCCCTCCTGTCCCTCGCCTAGTCACCTCTCGCCCTACAGGACCCAGACGGCTGGGCGGGGCTTTAGCGCGGCGTCCCACTCCGGGACTTCCTGGACGCAGGAGGTGGGAGCTGGGGCCTGAGGGCAGGAAATAGGAGCCGAGGTGGGGGACGGCGAGAGCCGGGTTCTGTGCAGGATTTCGCTCGGGGGGTCGGGTAGAGCCGCTCCTTGTGGCCCTGTTCCTTCTCTCCCCAAGACCTTTCGTGGGCAGGGTCTCTGCAGAGCCGCAGGAGATGACCGTGGCAGAAGCCCGGCGTCCTTGGGGGTAACCCTTAGTAAGCGTCATTGCGTCCTTCTTCCTTTACCCAGTTCGTAGTTCCTGGTCGTTCGCGGGTGTTCCTGGGGCCCAGCGGCTGTGGATGGCAGAAGCCCAGAGTGGGACTGGGCAGCTGCAGGAGCAGAAAAAAGGTAGGCTGCCCTGAGTCCGGACCCCTGGCTTCTGAAGGAATCGCTCTTCACTTTGCATTCCTCAGGCTTTAAGAGTCAAATTGCATAAACCAGCTTCTCCGTGCCCTCTGGCTATGTCCAGGATAGAGGGCAGGGCTTTGATAGAGCTTCCCTTCCTTATCCCCTCCCAGGTCTCCTGATAGCTGTCAGCGCCTCAGTGGATAAAATCATCTCGCACTTCGGGGCTGCCCGGAACCTGGTTCAGAAGGTGAAGGTGGCTGGAGGAGAATGTTGGGGATGTGGAGATTAATGTAGCTCTGGGGGCACAACAAGACAGAGGGTGGCGGTGGTGACTGGATCCCTATCTGGACTGACTCGAGTTGTGCCACCTCCAGGCCCAGTTGGGGGATAGCAGGCTGAGCCCGGATGTGGGGCACCTGGTGCTGACCACCCTCTGCCCAGCCCTGCACGCCCTGGTGGCAGACGGGCTGAAGCCTTTCCGGAAAGACCTCATCACCGGGCAGCGCAGAAGCAGTCCCTGGAGTGTGGTGGAGGCATCTGTGAAGCCAGGTGAGAGGGGAGGGCAGGGGACCCAGCAGAGCAGGGCCAGGACCTGGCTGACCACGCCCCCTGCCCCCAGGCTCCAGCAGTTCCCTGGGGTCCCTGTACAGCCAAGTCAGCCGTTTGGCCCCGCTGAGCAGCAGCCGCAGCCGCTTTCATGCCTTCATCTTGGGCCTCCTAAAGTGAGTAGTAGCCTTCTTCCCACTGCCTCTCCTGGCCCTGGGACCACTGGGCATCATGTGTGGGACACAGTAGTGTCCCCTGTCCTTGGAGAAGGCCTCCCCTCCCCCAATTTCGTCCCCATCCTCTTCCCCAAGAGGACCAGAGTCCTCCCATCTCCCTGAATTTGCATTCCCTTTTTTCTTCTCCCCCAGCACCAAGCAGTTGGAGCTGTGGTTTTCCAGTCTCCAGGAAGATGCAGGTCAGAGGCTCACATGGGAGTGGATAGGGTTGCTGGCCTAGAAGGGAGGGGGGGAAAGTGTTTCTCCAGTTGGTTTCCACTGTTACCAGAATATTAATCCAGATCTCTGATATTATTATTAGCCTTTTGCTTAAAACTCTTCCAGGGGATCTTATTGCCCATGTGAGGAAAGATTCAAAGCAGGGAAGCAGGGCTTTCTAATCATCAGTCTTCCTGGATGGTCCTTCTTGCCCCAAGGCCCTACTTTGATGCTATCCCTCCCTCTAGAAACCTGCCTCTGCCCCTTCAGTTTCCTCCTAACTCTCATTCATCCTGTGGGTCCTTCCTCAGTGAGGTTCCACCTCTGCGCCTTGTTTTGTGGGTGCTCCAAAAGCTCTCCTGTGCTTCACCTTTTTAGTCTCTAGACTGTTAATTTGTTACCTCCACTTGATCTACATGCCTCTCCCTCTGGAGGATCATGGTTCCACATGGGTAGGGAAATGTCCAGCTGTCCCCCTCTCTGACTCAGAGTGAGGCCTGGGAGGATGTTTGGGTACAGGGCAGGGGCTGATATTGGCTTTCTTTTTCTCAGGCCTGTTGTCCCTTCTGTATCTGCCCACGGGATTCTTCTCCCTGGCGCGGGGTGGC